TAGTGGTTTTTATAGAATCAGGAATTCGTCGGGTTAACATTCCCTATCGCGATCAGAAGTCACTGCAACACTAACCTTGTAAGACATTACGTCTCTGCAGAGATCTGCCATCGGATACAAAAATCGAGCAATGGCTTCGTCAAGATCGTCGAAGTCCTCGCCTCTGTAAAAACCACTACTTATAAAAACACCCAAAAACTAGAAGGAATAAAAATGAATGTCTCTAGGACAACAGAAGTTACAGAATAGTGAGCCGTCGTCCTAGCTCAGTTGGATCTTCCTTATCATGCTCTTCGACGTCAATGTTGGCCACAACTCCATCGGCCACTTTCCAAGAAATGGTCAATCGATTGTTTGACTTCGCCGACGGTCGAATAATGATGTCACCCTACAAAAATATGGTGTCAGCAGAGTAACTGATGTGAGAATATGAAACCGCAAAAGGAACGAAAAATGCAGCAAAGTTGGACAATTGAAAACCCAGACCAGGACGGGACCACTAAAAACATGACGGCTGGCCATAACTACGAAAATAACTTCTCTCCCTGAGTAGCCGCGATCCTCGCAGAAGATAGCCAGTGTGAAGGGGCGTGGCAGGATCAGTACGCCCAGGGGCTTTTTCACCAATCATTTCATAATGAGCCCGTTACAATTGGTGGTAAAAGCTATCCTGACTGCGCTCCGGACCCCATATAGGCCTAGTGTTGCAGGGATCATATCTGTCAACAGTGGGAAGTGTTGCTATGAAGGCGGAATTCTTACCGTGTCTTTTGCTCCAAGCATTCTCTGCGCTTCGCGATAGCTGACGTTGTGGAATTGTGGATGAACAATTTGTCGATGAGTGAAATTGCATTCCGCCTGAAGCTGCTGCTATAAACTCCACCAACGCGGCTTCGAAAGAGAAAAAAAACACCACCTTTTGGCTCTTCGCGCTGCGATCCTTCTCAATGTCTTCCTTCTCTAACTCATAATCCCAGTAAGTATCGTGCTCAGCTACTGGTTCTTTATTTAGGTCAGATGTACGACATGACAAAAGGCAAGAGAACTTCTCGGGTTCCAATTTAATTATGCGACAGTAGATCGGCTGGTTCATCTGAATTTACTTATATCTTGCATGTTCAGCACATAACGAATGAAACTAAACTGGCTTACTTTGACCCGTTCGAGTGGGTTTTTGAAAGATTCTGGCTTGTCCGAAATCATCTTGTTGGGTATGAAGCCGTTAATACCGTTATCAAGTTTGACTTTTATGCCAACAGGAATTCCTGGACAGCCACCTTTCCGAGAATCCTTAAAATAAAATGCATTCACATCTCAAAACCATATAGAAATCGAGTTTTAATACAGAATTTCTTACTTTAATCTGTAGATGTTCATAAAGCTTGTTGGAAATGATAGGCATTCGACAAAATGAGCACTCCCAGTACTCTGATTCTTGAATCCGTTGCTAAAAAATTCAAAATATTCATTCTTCAATATTATCAGCATAACCCTAAAACTTATCACCTACCATGTGTTCTTGCCCAGAAATATATGCTGCCCGTTGGTCTTCAGGAATCCTTTTGAACTGAACACCTATAACGACACCGCAAACCCGTTTCTCCTCCATCAATGTAATCTTGGATTCTTTCGTTAACAACCCAAAAAGTTCCTGAAAAAAACTAAGTGTTATTGAAAACCAACAAAAAACAGTGCCGGCATACCTGGTCGCTCAGTGGGACGAAAGGTCTCCGCTGATCTTTATATCGATGGTTCAGCTCAGCCGAGATAT